TTGGAAATGGCCTAAGTTAGTGCTGTACCCACAAATTTAATACAGGGTCAAAAATGGAATAGAAATACGAAGGTAATGCCCTGCAGAGTATGTCTGAAGAAGGAAGGGGTTTTTTTTTTGGATAAAGAGTTACTGATCTGAAAGCTTTGAGACTGAATGTATCTCTCATCTCCAGCAATTTAAACCATGATCATTCTTTAGTCTTCTGACTTTGGCACAGATGAAATGCCTCTGAACTCTTTTTCAACCTCTGCAATGAACACAAGGAATTTCTTTTTGCCCTGCTCAAATGTGCTTTCCTTAACATCTAAGGAGACACCTGACTTCCCACTTTAATTTCAGAGAAGCATCAGGCACAGTCTGGTAAACTTGAGGTTTAAAATTTTGTGAGAAAAGGTAACACAAATCCACTTCATTTCTGAAAGACTGAAGTGGACTGATAAATCCTGTCATCTTGCTTAAGTAATGTCAGATGTAAGAGCAACTGGGAATAACATTTTAAATGCTAATATTGTTACAATTTATATTAATCAGTACATTCTGCTTGTGCAAGAGAGGATTAAGTGGAGTTTTGGGAAAGCACCATCTTTACAGAGCTGGAAAACTATCAGTTGAAAATATGTATGACACTACTGAACTGCTACTGAAGCCTCAAAGAATGGTTATCTAAACACTTACAAAGAATGGTTATCTAAACAGAAGAGTCAGGCAAACTCTTCTGGCAAAAAAAGCCTTTTTTGTTATTGGTTATACCACATCTGTGTTTAAGTCACTAGTAGAAAAGTTTTCCAGCACTCAGAATCAAGCAGCCTTAACCATTCTTCAATGAAGATGCAACATCCAGGATTAAAATGCCCACAGCAATTCAGAGTAAGCAACATTTCACACATTAGACAGCAATGCATCACTTTAGTCAGTGCAACTGGAACAGAAGAGCCAATACTTTCTCTATTTGGCTTCAAAAAAATTTACTGCTTTTAAGTAAAAAGTAAATGCTTCTTTGCATACATTACAGAATTCAGGTAGTAATTTCTCTCCAGCAATGTATCTTTGAAATGCAATAAAACTGTCCAAAAGCTGGTGGTGTGAAAAATGCTCACTAGAACTCATCTGTCTCCTGTGTATGCCATTTTCCCACATACTGGGAATCAAGAGGGGAAAATCTTGAAAGCTTCAAATTCTAATTTATGTTATGTTTTTAGGCTTTCAATGAGTAAGTTAATGCTCAACTCAAGCTGGTTTCCATAAATATCATAAGAAAAATGAAGTATCCTGGACTTCATCATCTTCAAGTATTCCAAATGAAGAATTGCATTCTCACTATACTATTGTTACCTTGACTCTGATGAAGAATCTTCCCTTTTTCAGCAAATTTCCCATTAGAAAGTGGAGAGTAAACTACTGCTTAGATGCCAGTGAAGTGCAGAAAGAAAAACTGACATAAATGGAACTGCCAATGAGCAATTTTAAATTCCATCACTGAGCAGGTTAAAAGCAACTCTTAATCTCAAAGTCCACCATAAGAGAGTAAAAAGCATTTCCCATGGCAACCAGTAATGTTTTTGCTAATTTTTTTTACACTGTTAGGAAATAAGTGTCACAGCTTTAGTAAAAATTGTGGAAAAGTTTGGGTTTGTTCAGTTTCAGAAGACTTGGGTTGTTTTTCTTCTTTATATAGAACCACCCACTTGAAACTTCCTCCTTTTACCGCTGAAAGACTTAAATGGTAATATCTTCAGGGAGAAGCCTTTTAGGCACTTTCCGCAATGGGGCTGCTGTCCTGACAAAGGACTAACAAAATATTTAAGAAAGCATCTTCTGGGAAAAAAAAAAAAAAAAAAAAAAAAGGAGAATTTATAAAAAAACATGGATTTTAACAAAAAAAGTTAAAAAAAAAAAAAAAAGACCACACACACAAAAACCACAACACCAAAACAAAACCCAACTCTGATCACAACCTTTCTGAGTTTTGAGCTTAGGAAGCCCTTGCCCTTTAAGGATGACAACACTAGACAATTGTCTCAAATAACTGACATATCTTATGGACCTTAGAGTCAGTGCTCTTAAATATCCTGAACAAAAGGATGCTAACAGTTTGAAGATGAGCATTTCTACAGTAGCCATGGTAGAAGCAATGCAAATCACTTAGTGGACAAACTTAGGTGGCAAGATGTGCAAGGTGCCCATTATATTTTTTTTTTTTAAATCCAAAAACAACTCTATGAACTTAAAATTACAGTTTGTGCTCCAACATACAATACCCACTACTTCTGATATTAACTTAAGCGTTTAGTTCTATAATATTATATTGAGTATCAGCTATAGAATTACAGGACAGCTGTTGATAAACTGAGTGTTGCGAGCAGTCTGTGCTCCGAAAGTTGGCCATTTTGAAGCCAAAATCCAACACTATGATAATCTCAAGTCATTTATTTATACAACACCTTAAGATACTTTTTTTCCAGGAGAAAAATAAAGTATTTTGAAATTATACTTAAACTCACAGCCAATGAGGACTCCAACACCTTCTCCATTTCAATTTTTAGTTAGACTTACTACAGAAAACTGATTTTGTCTGGTTTGGCTTCCCAGTATTTGAGCTTGCCTGACTTTGATGTCAGGATTAAGAAGTATCCTCCAGCTCTTAAGTACCAAACATTCTTTTCCATGTGTAAACTTTTTACTTTGCAGTATCAAAACGTCACTTCATCTTCTTTGGTAATGACAGTGACAGAGTTCCTCAAACCTCAGACTTTAAGACCTACTATCCAGCTCCACATCTTACTTCAAACTCAATTATTGCTATAGCCTTCTCAAGCGCAAACATAAAGCTGAACGTTTTTTCTGGTAGTAGTCTTCTCCTTGTTGTTTAGGTGTCAAAAGTTTCCCTAATTTTCTGTTTGTCCCTTTGTACCTGTTCAAGTACTTCGTCGAGCTTTTGACTACAACTCTGAAGGCTCAGCATTGAGATGGTCCTCTGGCACAAGTCTTTGCATGTATTATTTTTTGTCTACCATGTCCAGAGTAAACAACCTTGGTTCAAAGAGATCAATGTTACCTTGTGATGACTTTTTTGCAGCTATAGCTGTTCAATCTGATGATGCAGAGAATAATGGAACAATATCACGTTCACATTATTTTCTACTCCACCGATTTTTCTCTTCTACAGACTTAACAGTTGATTCCTCCTATACTATTCTGTGTGCATGACAGGTTCATTTTTTTGTTAGACAGTAAAACTCTGGATCCCTTCTGTTCTCTAAGGAATTAATGTACCAATAATGTACCAGGACTTCTAACGTTTTTGCACATGTAAGGTCTCCATTCCATTTTCTAGCTCTCCTCTTCTATTTCACTAGCCACAGTAAATGCCTCTGTTAACATCACCACCACTTCTTGAGGACAGAACTAACATCAGTTACACACAGTGGAACCTAAACAGAAAACACATGTATCACTTGATTTCAATTAGCTACAGGTTTTGAAGTCTGCTTACTAGAAAAAAAGTTTAGGCAGTCAGTGAATTAATTCTTTCATACAGTACAGCATGTACATATTGGCAAGAAATAAGCCCATAATCACAGGTCCCTGACAGTGGCACCTGTTACTGAGGCAACTAGAATATGCCTATGGAAGAGCTGAAACCATTTAGTCATCACTGGGTAAATTGCTTGTATTCACTGGAGCAAGAAGTATTTCTTTGGAATGTACTTCAAAAGAAATTCCTGCTCGGCATTAATGTTTTCAAACAAACGGAATAAAAGGCACTGTTGCTCAAGCAGTACATTTGTTGTCTCCGACTGTTAAAAAAAAAAAGTTTCTCAACAACTAGCTACTGGTGCCCTAAGAAGGCCCTTGTTACCTCATAGTAATTTCACCTCTCCCTATAAAAGCTTAACATGAAAATTGCTTTTATCTGAAGCATGTCGAGTCTCACACCTTTATATCTATCTTTTTATCTAAAATTATGAGTTAGTATAACAGTATGCATTATAAAATTATACCATTTACTTCAGATATGTCTGAACAGCTAAATCTTCAAACTATACAAAAATAAAGTGTATGAAATCTTACAAAAGGAGGACATTAAGACATTAATAGCTAATCCAAAAAATATAATAACTTATACACAGCAGTAAGCATAAGCAATGTAGCCTACAACAGCTTTCAATTAACAGGACCTCTGAAACATCTGAAACAAGCATTAGCTAAAATTGGAACATTCTCAAGCACAATAATGCTTCCAATTTATTATCTTTACCATAGTACAAACTTTCAAACCGAATGTCCATTGTCAGTCAGTCTGTAAACAAAAGGTACTATCCCCCCTCCTTGTTTTAAGAGGGCGAATATGTTCAGTCCTCAGTCAAGTTTCATATCCATCACTTGCATAAGGAATCAAGAGCCTCTTCTCTTGTTGTTTTGTTTTGTTTTTTTGTTTGTTTTTTTTTTTTTTTGTCATATAGCCTGCAGTGAATTAAAATCACAGTGAAAGTCCTGGGAAAAAGTTGATCTTTACAGCAGGACTTGAACCATTCTAATAATAAATGCATCTAACAAAGCTTCCCATAATAAAAGCATGGCATTTCCATTTCCAGAAATCAAGTCAATTAGAAATCCTAGAGTTCTACTTAAAAATCCCAAAAGATCTAAAAGTGAAAAGATTCATCTTCTCAGTCAAATACAAGTCTTTCAGTTTCACTTGCAGAGATACTTTTCCAGTCTGTAAGACAGTAGTGCAATTCAAGGAGTTCTACTTCTTTTATTTTTCTTGAAGTCCAGTAGATAAATGTCCTAGCTCTATGGAAAGATAGGAAGATGCTCCAGTAAACAAGAAACTTTGGTAAGCCCACAAAGGCTTACTAGTCCATTAAAGCTTAGAAGTCCAAAGTGGCTTAAAAATGGTTTATGAATACACTAAAAAACCCACACCCCACCCCAGGCCCCCCTTCAAAAAAAAACCAAAACAACAACAAAAACCCCCACAAACCTACTAAAAAAGAAAAAATAAAAAAAAAAGAAATAAATAGGCAGAAATGAATGTAAACTGTCTGAACTTTTTAATGATTTCTCATTGACAGCTGGCATGACCTTTGACAGTACAGTCAGTTAAATATAGATGACCTACAGAGCATTCCACTAGGGCATCCAGTCTGGAATGCTCAAATGGAATTACATTCCCAAAGATTTAAAAAATAGAGTTCTTACAACATTTCTACAGGTTTCTTCTTCCCACTTCACTTACACTTCTTCTTAAAGAAGCTTTTTATTTTCGATGGCTTTTTGTTTTTTTCACCATTTTGGTACAGGTCCTGTGGGATGCTACTTATCCTAGGGACAGAAGCAGCTTCATGGCTGGGCTTACTATCACTGCTGGCTGAAGAGCACGAGGTGTGCCGAGGCTTTGGGACTGGGATCCCAGTTGAGAGCTGGTTCATGCTGCAGGACTTCTCCAGAATTCCATTATAAACTTTGCTTGCAGGACTAAAGATCATGCTCTTAGTTTCTGCCATGCCTACACAGTCAGGAGAGCCCCTAGAAATATCTGCAGTTAGAGAAGAAGAGTCTCCTGTAGATGATTCCTCCAGTGAGAATTCTTCTGGGGATACTTTCTGAGGAGAATGTGTCTGGTACATCTCAAGACTTGCTGGAGGAGACTGCTTCCTTCCAGTGGATGAATTTAAGGAGTCACATTCCGAACCTGTTTCCTGTACTTCCCTGAGTCAGAGGAAAGAGAGGAGAAAACATAATGAAACTACTATTTACTTCATGTGGTTAAAAAGGAAATAAATTTAGAATCAAGAACCTTTATCTATAAGCACCACCCACACTTCTCCTTAGTAGTTAATTACAAAAAAAAAAGTTAAAAATTTTAACTTATTACAACACTTTATCTAAACTTAAGATAATTAGTTGTTGCGATCTTGTTTCTGTGAGCAGCAGCATCTGCCCAGAATCAGTCATTTCTATCTCATTTCAAAGAATAAAAACCATCTTTCTGGCACGTGAAGTCAGAAAAGTTATGAAATGAAAGAAGGAGATTTAAGCCTATCATACACAAAAAGTTTCTTCAGGACAAGTGTCCCTACCTTTCAACAAGCTCATTTGCTCCTTCCAAAAGGAATTTAACCTTTTCCTATGAGGCCATGTAACAAGAGTAGGTACACGCTCAACATGCTGTAAGAATTGTGTTACCATCCATCTTCTCTTCGCCCAGTAGCTGACATTGCTTTTGATCCTAGTTTCAGATGTAAAAGCCAGTAACATATTGTAATGGAGAATCAGGGTTAGTTCAGTGCACCCTGGATTGTAACATTACTTAACTGTATATGACATGCTAGCTATTTATATACACATACCAGACAAAAACTCTGTTTCATGTGGACTACGTTAATTTATATTATCCTACAGATTACTTTAACTTTTGGCTTGGTTCAACCTCTAACTCTACACTGTTACTCTGAAATAATCCTATCCGAGATCGAAGTGCTGTTTGCTAATCTCCGTACCATTGTTTATCAGCAGAGAAGTAAATGGCTTCCTCCTCCTCTTCAGTTCGATAAAGAGCTGGGCAGCTCGACACAGAAAGGATGTCAGGGTCAGGGGAGTGCAAAGCATGCTGAGACTGTGGAGATGATGGCACAACATTGCGTCTCGATCGACACAAGCTACTGCTTCTTGCCAGTGTGCTGGGAGGTTTTACAATGGACCCTGAGGCAAAGAAAAAGCAAACCAAAACCCTCCAAGTGACATTGATGTTAACAATATCTACACTGAAGACTAAACAGCAGGTATCTGCTTCTGCGACAGAGATTCTTAGACAACTTTGACATTGCTTGACTGTTTAGGAGGAAGAAAGACTGGCATCACCTCACACATTCCATGGTTAGAAGAAGCAGCTAACCAAGATGTGACTGCAGCAATTCTGTGCCTGCCCAGTATTACTCTGACTGCATGCACCAAAGCTCTGGCTCGTTATGCTCTCTTGAGAACAAAGAGAAAGATTCTATTGAAACTCCCAACCCTTCACCAACTAAAAATGGCAGCGCTGAAATTAGCCTGTTACACAATATCATGGATTTTACTTGTGTGGCAATTTGGAGTTTAAAAGAATATGTGAAAGTTTTGCAATGTAGGTATATCTAACCAAATACCCAACAGAAATACACTGCATTAACTGAAAGTTAGACACTGAAGACCAATTTCATTTATATAATATGATAGAAAAATATACAATTCAACCTCATTTTTAAGCTCAATAATCTCTTATTTGATAACACCTTTTTCCATACCAACTATGAATTTCTGGAAACAAAAATAATAAGAACGGGTGGAGACAACAATACAAGACTTGACCAGGAAAGTATCCAACAGGAAGTGCCAAACTAAAATGCTCCTAATCTAATTCCTACTTCAAAAGATGATTAGACAGCAATGTTTCTATGGAAATAGATCCACAGACCTGTCTTCAGGTTAGCTGTTATGAGCCTCCAGATTTCTCATACCCCTCCTCCAACTATCCCATAGAATGCACTACACCTTAGGTAAGACAGACTCCACCCTAACTGATGCTCAAAAATGTTTTCCAAACAACACACACAAAAAAAATCAATTACTTTTGTAGACAAAGATGTCTAGTCTGACCAAATGCATTTTATTTTTTTGAGATGTCACTTAAGCATCAGGTAGATTACAGTTTCCACTCCTGGAAACTCAGAAAAGATTGAGTTGTCATTCTGCTCTTAGCGTAAGGAAACATGGGTTCCACAAAGTAGCAGGTAGCTGCACCTTTACCAACACTGAGACTTTTTTTCCTACCAGCCTGAGCAGTTACAGTTGTCATGTTACTCCCAACTTTTGATGTTACTTTTGATGAATTCCCTACTGACCTGAAAAGCAGACATAAGCAGCTCAAAATTAAGCTTGTGTCATTACAAAAATATTCCTAAAAAAGCAAACGTGAACTGAGATAAAAGACGATGACTCCATTTAGGAAACATGTACTACATGTCCATGTGTATCAGATGTCATTCTTCTCACTGGTGGGGAGGGGAAAAAAACCACCACCGACTGTACGAACAGTGAATTTTGAGAGAAGTTATAGGCAGTTTGGTTCCTTGTAGGTATATATACATGGGTTTATGATGGAATCAGCTATGGCAATTTAAACTTCAGATTTTTCTAGTACAAATGAAACTCACCAAATCGAGGAATTGGCTGAATTCTAACCAGTCCACAAAAAAAAGTAGTTTCACTATCACTCTCCTGCAACGGCTTTGTTCCAGTCTTGTACATTTCTTTCTTTATCCCCTTTTGGTTTTTAGCTCAGGATTAATTAAGCAGATCTATTACTTCACACTATTTGAGTCTATCATCCCAACTGCTGCAGCACAAAGTCTGTCTGGCAGACTTCAAATTTTGCCAGTTTTAAAGAGATCAAAGGATGCTGGGGCAAGTAACAGTCCAGATAATTCAGATTAGGTCCAGAGACTGAAACTGTCTTGCTCATAGCTGACTTGCCTGCACACTGTCCTCTGCCTGAAGCCTCATAAGTGAGACAAGCCATTTTCTCTTTTTTTTTTTTTTTAACAAAATTGGGCTCTCCTTCTGTATTAAAATACAGAAAACCACATCTTAAGTTTTTGTAATGCTACTAAGATTCAGATAACTTTCAACACAGAGACACCATTAGCCAAATACTTCAAAATGAAGTGAATTCTTAACAAAAAAAATTAAACCATAATTGCAAAAGAATACGGTGAAGTTTCAACTAAGTATGCTCTTATAAACTGTATAGTCCCTCTCTAATCATAGTTCCTCTGAACTAACTTCGCTATTTTCTCTGGCTTTACTTCTGTACAAGACTCAACAGAGAAGAATGACCAAAAAAAAAAAAAATCACAGGTCTTAAGTCTTATACATATAGTTAAGAGTTGTGTCATTTTAGACTATCTGGAGAGCCAGGGTAATAAATGGAGCTCTTAATTTTGAAAATCAGACCACAGGTTTCTGCATGGGCAGAAATATTAGGCACTCATATTTTACTGGACCATCCAAGAAATTTGTTGCTAAGATCTGAATCAAAGCCTTGGCAACTGGTGTAAAAAAGAACAAGTGGTATAAAGGAGACAACTGGAGAGACAGTATTTTTACAAGTGATCAGAACCTGCAGTAAGTACTAAGGGGATTAATGAACTTTTCAGTGTGGCCTGCAGAAAAAGAGGTTGGTTTCAGAAGAAAAATGTGTGCCCAAGGCACTCTAAATGAAGCCAGCAAAGTGGTGACCATTCTCCTTAGAGTACTTTAAAATATAGTTCTACTTTCTTCTCAGAATCTCAGCCCTGGAAGAAAAATGTATACAGCTGACAAAGTTTCCTTCCCTACTCATTCCTCAGCCTGATATTGCTTCTTTGAATAGCCACATGGGAGCTCATCTTTTCGATTTGTCTCTAGAGTCCAGTTAATCAGAACTTCCATGAAATAGGCTCTTGTATTGACGCAATGACTCAGGATACAAGGGTGGTCTAAATCCCTAGTGTGTATATTTTAATCATAGTTTAACCAAAGCTGGATTTCCCTCCCTCCAGCACTCGGCCTCTCTGCCTCACACTCAAACAACCCACTGCATCCCAACACAAACATTCTGCCTGAAAGCTTCCCTTGGACAAAACCAGAATTTTGTTCCAGTCATTAAAGAATGTTTAAAAAGCTATGTAGCAAGAGGCCTCTCAAAGCGTGTGATCTTCCTAGTAGCTTAAGGGACCCTAGACTAACTCCATTACTTCCATCTGAAGGAATAAACATGCTAACAGAAATTCAGGATTACTCATAAAATTTGTCTAAGTGGCACGACAAGCATACTTTCAAAATCATTATCTGGATTTATCCCCCACTCCTCCACTGAAACTGAATAAAGGCTTTTTCTCCCATTATCTTTATTGCAAAACCCAGTTTTCCATCTATGCAAGTCCCAAAAGATGCATCTGGAATGTTAGATATAATGTCATTCCTTTTTGACATGGATCTAATCTCATTTGATTTCAGCACTCTTTTCCCACCTGCCTTTAAAACTCCCATGTACCCACAACTTTTTCCTGCTCTTTACTGTGCTCAACACTTACCATGAAACTGTGAAACTATTGGAGGAGTATCTTCATCTAAGTCGTCGACTCCCCCTGCAATTGGGTAAGGAGGAATGGAAACTCGAGGCATAACTACCCAGCTGTGGTCAGAGTAGAGAGAGGAGGTCAAGCTTGGTAGCCCAGAATTGTGGGCTATTTGAAAACCACAGATCTTCTCAATCTGTTGCCATCGATAAAGACGCTCTCGCAAACATGTCGTCAACTCGGAGAGCGCTTTCCTGAAGAAAAGAACATGTTAAAATTACATACACTGTTCCTAACAAAAAAGCCAAGCAACACAAGTGTAGTCGTCCCAGCATACTAGAAGATCCATTAGGGCTGTCCACATATTAGCACTTTAATGTCTCAATGGTTTTGCACTTCTAAGTGAAGCAGTTTAAAAGATTGAAGTCCATCCCTCTCAGAAAACTCCCTTGTTCTAGGAATAATCAATCACAAAAGAATATGCATCCTGGTAATATTCTTACTTTGCTTCAAGGATTTTATGGTCCACTTCATCCAGGGAGGAACTGTGTGCAACATGTAATGTGCCAAATACAGTGCTTCTCTTCTTTTTTATCTTTTCTGCCTGAAAAGCAAGATAAAATCAAGTGCCTAAAACTAGAAGTTCTATACTTAACACACACGACAAAACATTGGCAATATTGACAGGTAGGAAACAACAACAGAGGCAGAAAAAAAATTCCAAATGCTTATCTGAATAATTTATATTTACTACTTCAGATATCTAGCAATAGATCAGAAAAGTCTTTGAGTAGCTGAAGAGTAAGAGCTAGTACCTCATCTTTGGCAATTGCTAGCTGCATCTCTGCATGCTGTCTTTTGATGTTGTAGTATTGTACTTCAACTTCATGTGTTAACTGAAGCCACTTCTGCAAAGCTTCAGGAACAGACCAATTACTTCTCAGCTCAAACTCCTTTTCAGCCTTTTTTAAAGCCATGCGGACCTAACAAACAAGAAGAAATAAAAGTGCCACCAAGAGGATCATTAGAACTGACAGCCGAAAAAAGTGAAATAAGCACCATTTTACCCCACAGCAACATACTAGGGCTTTACAGAAATTTGGTGTGTGCCAATTGCTGTCAGGAAGACAGATCTGCCATTTTTAAAATATAGCATGTGAATTTCCATATAGCATATTATACTCAGATTTTTTTTCCCCTGAGATATATAGTCCCTAAATTGAAGTTTAAATATTTTTCTATCACAGCATTTTTATTTACGACAATAAATCAAATCTATTGCTACTCAGAAGAGGGAGACGAAGCTACTAGTATCTGTCATTTGTTAACAAGCTAGGGGAAAAAAAAGCTTTTGTATATGCTTTGTCCCACGAATCTAGCAACATTATGAAAAGCTAATACAGAGAGTGCATGTCTTCTTATAATTTCAAGACTTTTTTTTTACTAGATAATGACATGATTGACAGACAATCATTAAGTGCTCTTAAAATTTGTTCATTCAAATGAATCTTAAGGATGTAATAAAACCAGGACGAATATCAAGTCAACACTAGAATTACAAACAGTTTGCAGATACCTGTACTAGCTCTTCCTCTGCGTATTTGAGCCTGCTAAGCTCACACTCAGCTCCCTCCCTCAGCTCCCTTAGGCGATGAGCTTCCCGTTTTGCATCATTGATCTCATCCATCATTTTGCGCTCCAGATTTTGCTTTTCCACAGCAACATTTCTATTTTCTTCTTGTGCCTTCTCAAGCCTTCACAATTGAACAAAAAAACAGGAGAAAATATACAGCAGATCTGTTAAAAGCTGCAGTCCTTACGAGAAGAAGATGTATCCAGCAACAGGGCAAGAGGCAATGGACACAAACCAAACCACAAGAGGTTCCATCTGAACATCAGGAAACACTTTTTCACCATGAGAGTGCCTGAGCACTAGCACGGCTTGCCTGAGGAGGTAGCAGTCTCCATCCTTGAGATATTCAGAAGCCGCTCGGACATGGTCCTGGGCAACCTGTTCTAGATGATCCTGCTTGAGCAGGGGGGGCTGGACAAGATGACCTCCAGAAGTCCCTTCCAACCTCAACCATTCTGTGATAATAAAGACTATGCGAGCTTCATGAATCAGCAGCAGTTGCATCACACAACGTGATGTCCACATGAGACAAAATACACACACTTTTAAGTGAACCTTCATTAAAGGTGTAATGAAATACAGGTCTTTACAGATGACTGAGTTAGAGGTGCACCAGAGAAGTCTATCAACTCTCGCACTGCTAAATAAGCAATAGAATCAGTCTAGGTGTTTCAATCACAAGAGCTTAAAAACAGGAGAAATATTCTCATTTCCATATACGCACACATTCCAAAATAAATGGTAGTTATATTAAAATACCAGTACATACCTCTAAATATGTAAGAAATAAAGATTGAGCCTCTATTCTCTACCTTCATCCCCAAGTTAATGTTACCTGCTAAAATATCCAGGAGCAATTTCTACTCAAAAACATACTGCCACCAAAATCCCAAATTCCAGGCAAAATTAAAGACGAACAAATATCTAAAGCAGTTTAAAGTAAATAACTTATGACCATAAAGGGTATGTATTTCTATTTAACATCAAAACAAATGGACAACTGAACATTAACTTTCTTTGTTTTTATACCTTTCCTGCAAGTCAAGAAGACTTTGCTCTGCTGTTTGGAGACTTTCTAAGTCCTTCATCATTTTTGTGATATGTTCTCTTGAGGTTCTGTTCTGTGTATACGCAAACCAGCAGCCTCCAAAACCAATAACTATAGAAACTGTTAATATAAAATCCTTCATCCAGTTGTGAGGGGGACCTGTGCAGGGAATAACATCATCATTAACCAGCTCATTGATACAGAAAACAGACTAAGGAGTTTTTTTCCTCCTCCACAGCTTAAAAAGGTGGCAGAACCTGATGCGAAACAGAATTCCAGCTCATTTATCTCAAACCATCTCCAAAAAACTACCTCTCAAACAGGTTCCAGAGCACTTTCCATGCAACATAAGTAGATTGTATTAGAGAAGAATTGCTTGATCTATACCAAAACATACATTAGCTTGAGGAAAGCTTACTAAACTTTTACAGTATGTAGCCTATAACTTTACTTAAATGAGTTATGACAATTTCCCCAAAGCCTTTAATCAGGCCAGTAAGAACTTCAGTTATGTTTGAGTAAGCTCCCCCCAGTCAGCACCCTCTGAAATACCCTATGCAGAGTTAAAAATGCACTTATACAAAATAGATTTTAAAAGGGTAAGTGGCTAATAGCAACACTTTTGAAAAGCAAACACTTTAAATGCAAAACCAACCTGGTTTGTCTAAGTATCATACCTAAGATTCACATACACTTCTTTGTCAGAATAACTTTTACAGTCACTTGCTTCTTTGTAAAACAAATTTTTAAAAGACAGTTTTTGCTGTCATTAAAGGTATAAGACAAAGTGCCTTTTTTTTTTTTTTTTTTCCTAAAAACCTCCAGCTTAGATCTGTCAGGCTAACTCAGCTCAGACCTAACCTGACTTTTGCAAAGTCATTCACTACTCTTCAAACTGACCACCAAGCTCTGGAAGGGTCTCCTAGGTTCAGGAACACTCGACACGCAGAGTACCACAACATATCTGTAACTGTACAAAGCAAGTATGTGAGGCCACTGGTGACGTGGTAAGGAATTGTCTGCAAATGCTACAATGGGTCAGATGTGGACCTGGTGTATTAAGGTTAACTGCACTTAAACTCAGGTCTGCATAAAAGGCACTGGTATAGGATTTACACAACCATGTCCTTTTTAATTCCCTGGGGAAGGTCATCCCCTCTCATTTCAGCATCCCAGCTTGCACTTGTACAAATTAACTGGGAATTGACTAACATTAGCTAGCTATAAGTGTAATTTAAACAATAAAAAACATTTAGAGGTCACTTCTTGTGACACAAAAGCCAACATCTATCTGTCAAGTGGGGTTACTTCTACACAGTCTTACACACAGAAGTGAACCTTTGTCCTGATCCCAGTATTTTCATAACCTTTTTCAATTCATTGCCCAGTTCCAGAACACGTGCCAAGCAATCCATCAGCACATCCACAAAATGGATAAGCTGTTCTACCTACAATGTCAAGTCTCACTGAAAATATTCTCTACTGAATTCTTACAAATAAGAGATAAGAAAAAAAAAATCCAAAGTTACTAACGTGTGAGAGGTCCAAATAAAACAACATCCAAGGCTTTAAGCTGAAGCTTTTGTCTATGGCTCCGGTCTATTATTTTCAATTGTTCATTTACTGCTATCCTGTTAATGACAAGACAAAGCGTTACCTATTCCACAAGCTACATTCAAAGCCAGTCTGTGGAAAGAAATATATGAACTATAATCTATGTAACTCTGGGAAATGCTGTTATGCAATTAAAGTGAAAGATGTAATACAATGAGAGCAGCACTATAAAAAAAGTCTATCGGCTTGTGACAAAGGAAGAACATTCCATCATTTGCCTAATCTTTTCTTTTTGCAATAATCATTAAATAAATCCATTTGGTATAGTTAAAGGTAACAGTATACTTGCAGACTTGTGACACCAACGCTCTGAAGTACATGCAATACTCAAACAGTTATGCTCAAGAAAAGGAGTTCTGCAGGTAGTTTTTGATGTATACCTAATACAATAGACTGAAGATGTCCAAAAGAAAGTTCATTACCATACAGAATTATGTGATCATCAATGAAAGCCTCAACAGGAAGAAGAAAAACAGAAAAAAAAAAAACATATAAAAGGTGTGGCAAGGATTTATTTATATTTTTTATTATTTTGGCATGAAGAAAAATGCAGCTACCTCTTCAGAATTCCAAGTACTCTTTTCTTGCATTCGATCATATCTGGTTACACTTTAGGTTCACACAGTTGCTCCCACATACAGACAAAAGCAGCAAGCTACATGGAATTACTTGAAACAAATCCAGAAGAAACACTCACCTGGGAAGTGTTGTCCCATTGACATTGCTATCTCTAAAGTTCTTTTCATATTGGGGCAGTTCAACAAATTCTGATAGCCACTGTAGAGTGTCCTCTTGAGTCCAGTTATGAACTGGAAGACAAAGTCAGTTTAATTACCTTTAATATTTATACAAATCAATAGCAAGACACAGAAGACAAGCAGTAGAAAAGCAGGTTACAGTGAGCAAGAGATTTTAGGCCAATATAATTTCAGGAAAATGAGCATTAATGCTGACCAAGGTGTTTTTGGCATTTTGCCTTTTTCATCATATGCTTCTGAGAAGCAGCATAGGCAAAATATAAACACATAAGCATGGAACTAATAGAACATTTCTTTATTAAAAATTCCACAGAATAATTTAGTTTTTTGCTTTAATTTAAAGACAGTATCTTGTGACTTTTATCTGCTTAAACCAATCTCCGCCTCAATCCTTTTGTCCTTGCTTCTCTTGCAGACCTAAACACATCAGCAGGTGCTGTAGCCATTTAAGGCAACATTCAAGATCTTTCTTAGGATGATGGCTTAAGAAGTTGTTTTCACAAGAATCTTCATAGAGGTTCATGTCTATTAACCACAAAATGGGAGCAGAAGAGAGAGGAACAACAATGGAAAGAAAATACAGAGAGACGGAATTTCTGCAGGAAAACAATTCAATTTCTCTCAAATATGCCTAAAACAGCTGTATTACATGCAATAATATACCCACTAAGAAAAATTATTGAAATATGTAGATAATATTTGAGAATGTGTAGAGAATAACTGAGAATTTTCTGTATAACAGCAAGAATCCACAAACCCTTCATAGGTACAGATATGCCAAGAAAACACAACCCACAGATTTTACAAATAACAACAAGAATCACATTTCTAGCCCTTACAGGCCAGCTGCTACAGCTTATAGCCACACAGTGACAAAGGTAAAGGGAAATTGTTTTCTCCATTTATGAAGTCTGCAAAAGTTGGTCTGCACACAAAAGAAAGTGATAGTCTCCTTCTGGATAGATGTATCAACACACAAAAAAATACCTTTCCCTCGCCTTCCCCTTTTTAAACATTTCTCCATCTAAAACTACTTACACGTGACAATGCTGAGCAGAGTTTTCTATAAACCTTATCACAAGGACACATTCTCAGTGGTGAATTTTGACAATGAACCTTTAGAAAGAGCTGCTGAAAGGCCAACGAGTCAGAAAAATTTCTGTTGCCTAGAGCCAAGTTCGAATTTATATTTCAGTTCATACTGAAACTGAAACAAGGACTTCTAGGTCTCATCTACACCACTGTAGCTGAAAGATAAGCTTAAGCATTTCAGATTTTCATCACTCTAGATAACTGAAGACAAAACATTTCACAGACTACTTAGAGCTTCAAAAAATAAACTTGTAGTACAAAACACTCCTATCCTATCTGTATGAATGGCTACACCACCTTCTCAGCATTCTATCACATTCCTTCCTCTGCTTTTGAGCCACAAACTGTTTTCCAGACAATGATCTTGCAACAAACTCAGTTTTGTCACATTATTATGTTTTTGAAACAAAATGTTTGGGCCCCACTTGTAAATACATCTTTTTCACATGATACTGAACTGTTTTGTGAATAGTAAGTGATCAGATTTTCAAGTCAATCTAAGCATCTCAAGAGGATGCTAACATAATCCAGGAAAATATCACCTTAACTGCATTCCAGAAATATGTTCATAAACAGATCCAAAGCAAAGGCATTGCTTTAATGTGACTAAAAAAAAAGTCACCTAAAATAGCTGCCACACACTACGGACCTTCCCACTGACTGTGCAGACCATGTAATTTCAGAATCCACACTATTCACTGAGTTCTAGAAGTTGATGGGGAGAAAAAAAATATTGTTTCACTTCTACTGCTGAATGTATTTTGTAGATACTCTATCAAAATTTACATACATTTGTATTTCTTATAATTCAGTAGTAATTTTAAACACAATGTAAAAAATGAGGTATATATTGAAGTTGTTTACAGCAGAGCCAGTCACATCTGTTCTACACTGAGTTGTTTCCTTCATAGAATTCCCCAAACAAACCAGTTATATTTAGAAAAAATAAACATTTTAGTATTTATTATCTATCACTGTATGCGATATCTCCATTAGCACAAAAACTGTAAGAAGGAGGAAACAAAATCTATCAGAACGTGTGCTTTCTGTATTGTTCTTACACTTGTACCTGGTTACATAAGAGCTAAAATCAATTGCCTCTTGCTATACATTGTGAGTGGTCATTTAAAAGGACACCATTTCAGCTACACAATCAATATATATAGTTAACTCCTACTTAATTCCTGCCCATGAAAGTATTTCATAAGAAATTTAGATAGATCATGTAAACCAATTCTGCACTAGTGGAATTCCAGTGTCAATGCCAACAAATCCCGAACTTCTCAAGGCTGAATCAAACACTAGACTAGTCTGTCCTCCCTTTTCTGCAGCAACACAGTGGAGCTCTGGGAGATTGCTTTATATCATTGAAAAAGTTCAGGCCACTTTTGTTGATATATTCTATATGCTATATATGAGTAAGAAGTATTAGGGCCTTATGACTGACATGTTTATTCTACAACAGCATTCAGTACTGAGAAGCAAACTGGCCTTCCATCAGTAGAAGTAGCTCAAGCCTACTGAAAGATGACACAAGACAAACAATACACAGCTGGGGTACTGAAAGGCAAGCAGGCCAGCTGAAATTCATCTTGATCAGTACTGCCTGTTAGGATGTTCTAAATACTAATTAGCCAGGGTTGCAATTTTTATTTTAATCACCCAAAAAGAATACAGTGCTTCACACAGCAGAGTAGCAGCTGCCAATTACTATAAATCAAATTCAAATAGCATTAAAAAGTAATCATAACATCCTTCTCTCTCGCAACTATTTTCACAAATAGACATCTTGAGAAAGGGAGTGTCAGCAACACACCTTGGGCGTGCAGGTGTAGAAGACACAGGGGTTTACAGCCCAGTGCAGCACTTGGTCGCTAGACCGCTCTATTTCAGATCACAAAAAAGTTGGTTTTTGTTTTTTTTTTTTTTTTTTTTTTAAGACTGTTATAACAACATGTCTGAAGGTTAAGACAACAAAAGTAGTTTCCAGCTGGCCCTGTATGAAAGTTGCTCCTTGCTAACCCACACTAACAGCTGACTAGAAGTTCAGGCTATATACCACTTCTTCATGTTAAATTTACTGTGTAGCACAGTGCTTCAAGGCATGGGGGTGTGAAGCAAAACATTACAGTGTCAACCTCAGCACTCCTGTGGGCCTCCTATGCCTTTCAGAAATCAAACTACTCACTAAGAGTATTTCACAGCAAGGAGTGAATGACAGACATATATTAGATTTAAAGCTGACAATGGGCTGACCAGGCAAAATAGAGGGGGGGGGGGGGGGGGGAGGCGAAGAGAGAGGGGGGGGGGGGGGGGGAACCAAACAAACACACAACCCAAAACACACAAGATTGCTCTATATATCAAGCACACAAAAGAATTCAGAAGTTTTTATTTTAGCAGGACCTTCAGCAGCAACATCAGCATGAAATATGGTGCCACCAGTAGGCTTTTAAACAGCATGGAAAACCAAAAAATAAGAGAAGAGTGACCCTGACTATGTTTTTCAATAGTTTTACATTACAATTATTGCTTTGTCTCACAGAGAAGAGTCAGTCTGCAGCACTGTACTGCTCCTGCCTGGAATAGCACACAGTGTCACCCAACTCATGCTTAGCCAAGCCCTGCTTGCAGGCACTTCCAGTCTCTGCGCTTTGAAAACCTGAGATGATCTACGAAGAAAGTGCAAGGCAACCATAATACCTTTGTGGTATGCAGTTTAGTCCAAGTTGCCACTTGTGCAACATCACCTCAGGAAACAACAGGTGATCACACACAAAGCAATTTTTCATCTTTTTCCCCCAATAAATAACATACCAGACTGCAGGTCAGCTTCTACTATCCACAAAGAAGGAAGAAGTTAAAGACATAGTAACACAAAAGGCAGGGGAGAAGCTTTTTTCTTTTATTAGCAGTCTACAGGACATACTATATATTAAATGTAAAATAAAGGGGAAAAAAATTATTTTTGGTAGGACTCAGATTAATCTGAGATTAGTAAACTGTTATTCATGAAGTCCACATTTGACCACTACAGTTCTATTTTGCTACAAAACCAAGTCTCGGAGGATAATCCTGCATCACTACACCTATTCACCAAGACAGGTCAGAGAACTATCCAGCTTAAGGCCCCCATGCTTATTTTACAGACTCCCTTACTGGTGAGACAAAATACCTACACATCCCTCCTCAGACAGCAAATTCATATGATCTTAGCCCATTAAAGGGGCAAAAAAAAGAGCAGATAGACACCCCTGAGATAGAACTTTCAAAGATAATTGTACAAAGATTGTTATTCAGACAGTAAAAGGAATGTTCATCTGTCCCCTTTGCTGCACTCACAGCTACCACCGCTTCAAGGGCTTTGAAGAACAAAATACTGAAGATGTATCTTAATTTTAAGCCAACAGTAACTACTGAGCTTTATCCTTCAGCTGAAAGGCTCTGTGTATGTATAAATACTGCTCAGTGAAAAAGAAAATGGAGCAAATACCACACAACAGCCATATACTTGCATTTAAAGAACAGATACATGCAATATTAGAAAACAGAAGACTTTCATAAAGCAGAGTTTTGGATACTGTAAACAACTATGCTAGTACCTAGCCGTTCCTCTAAACCAAGATCTCTCTGTGGAAACAGATTATGAAATTAAATAATTAAAATGATCACAGAAAGCATAAATAATTGATGTTACTAAATTAAATTATGTAATGGTCTTGTTTTGTGCTAAGGTTGACATTGAAACTGTGTAAGAACAGAGCAATAGGCTAGATACCTATTTAAGATTTAGATGCTGATTTGATTCCTTCCATGCAAGTAAAACCTATAGAAGCCTCCAAATTCCTTTAATTTGCACCAGTACACCTTATGTCTTAAGGATTCAGCACCAGGTAGAGATACCAAAAGCCTGCCCAGTGCCAGAAATATTAAGGAGCAATGTTCTGAAGCTCTTTTTATTCTATTAGGCAATTTTTAAAGCTTTAAATAGAGCTAATCCTTAGGGTTCCATTCACTCTATAAGATCCTTCTCAAGCAATTACTTAAACATCACCTCTGTTTTTCTTAATCCTAAAAGGAGACACCAAACAGCAATAGCACACTAACTATACCATAAACCACGTTTTCACTTTCTTCCCCCAAGCCTTATCTGTCTTACATCACCAATATCTTAAATAGAAAACAACTTTAAGCTACTTGACAAACACTTTAAGGCAAACATCCACATAAAGCAAGCTTTATCCAAAAGAAAGGGTAATTCTACTCAGCATAAACTAAGCAGCAATAGATCCAGAATAGACTTCTGCAGAAGCACTGTCCAGGGCACTACATCGAGCTTTTAATTCTCAGAGAAATACTTCAACAGTCTACTTAACCCAATTTCAAATTACTGATACCATTGTTTACACTACCTTTCACCCTCTTGTTTAAATGCTGTCAAATTGCATTAAACTGGCATTATAAACTATCAGCCTGTAAGAAACAAATCAAAATTCCTAAAACATCTAGGAAAAAAAAACAGTACTTTCCACGTTACCCAATATTAAATGAAAATAGTTTATTACTTGAGGGGCTTCATGCTTTCTAACAGCCACCAGACTGCTGCTGACATTGCTTGGGAATCTCAGTCTAAGGGCCTCCCTGTGGTGCAGCTTTAGTTTCCTCAACAGGACGCACAGTAAAGCCATTACAAGCACACACCATACAATCAGACATTCCTCTCAAAATCTTTTGAGTCTTACTCACACTGCTCACGACATTCAAGCAACCTCAAACAAAGATATAACTGAATTAGATACTCATGGTATCAATATCACCTAGTTTTGAAGACTTACTCATCAGCTAGACAATTGTAAGCAGATAATCTTCTCTGATAATTTAGTTGCAATATTTAAAGAGTATTTGAAGAGATGAGGCTAAAAAATCCCTGATTAAAATGTAGGTATTTACTACACAGCCAACAATGTATTACCTCAGACAGCACTTAAATGACTTCCTACAATTAGCAGAACGAACCAATAGCATTTTCCTAGTTTCATTCCTCTTTTGTTCCCACTTGCCACTGTTGAGCTGTTGACTAATCCCAGATCTCTATATGCTCACCATTGCATAACACCTTCTGAATGTCACGGGGCTGGGGGAGGGGAAGAGGATACTTTCCTAACAACTTTAACTTTCCAGACATACCGAGGAAATTAACACTAGCTGGACTGAACCAGTTTTTAGTCAGGTTTATGTACATCTACAAACAACAGTATCAAAACAGATTCATGAAGATGCTGTAAGAGGTCATCTGTTTACTACTCTGAACTACTTGGTGGAAAAATTGTTGAATTATGCCTGTTTCAATAACAACTATCATTTTTAGCGTTTATTCTTTACCTACCTTCAGATGTTTTCCAGCGTTTCCACAGATCCTCAATTGTGATATGTTTGTCTTCTCTGTGCAGGTGACTATGTTTATTAGAGGCATCCTTGTATTGCATATCTTCCCTTAGAAACTGAAGAAAAGGGAAAACATCATCTCAAGTTCTAAAACAACCACTTCTAAACAGAAACAATGAAATGAGACAGAAGAGACTCATTACTATCTCTTCCCATGCAAGCGGTATACAATTCTTTTAAGTTGACTATATCAAAAACTCAGAAAGCAAGTTAAACACTCTTGCAGGATTCCATTTTCACAATGACTAAATCCTAGAAAAACTGAAGGTGCTAGTATACTAGGTTTAACGTTATTAGTATGCCTTAGATTTACAGTGATTACAAGAATGCACCACACACCTGTCTGTTCTGAAGATATTTAACCACCTTCACCTACTTGAAGATAAAACCCAGTAAAAATTGAAAATGTGCCAATCCTTTATGGATGAGCAATACCTGAATCCTGCTATACTAGTTAAATGTAACTGCTTGAGGGATGCGAGAAAGGTGTTGGGTAAGTCTTTTGATTAGACAATAAAAATTTGACTTCTATTTCATCAAATTAAAAAAAAAAAAAAGGCATACACAACCTAAGTCATCTTTGGACCAATTTTCTTCTTGCTCATCATTCCTCAGTGGTGACACTCCAAGCACAGAAGCATTACACAAACCTCTTTCATTCTCAGTAATTAATAGGAAGCCTTTGTCAAAATACCATGCCTTGCCTTTTAGTAAACATGATAAAAAGGCAGATTGTGCAATCACATCATATATGGCATTGCTGTATCAGTATTTCAGAAGTCATTACAAATGAGTTCTCCAAACACATAACAGAAAAAAAAAAAAAAAAAATAGCCCAGGACTGTAAAAACCATTTTTATTTCACACAGGCTTAGAAAAGTCAGAATACTCCTTGGCAAACTACCTGCCATTAATAGTGGAAACCCTCCATAGACAGGTCCCTAAAAGCACAGCATGAGCTGTGGTTGGAGGCCTTAGTGTTACTATCATAAAACTAACATAAGAGCCAAGTGGTCTTCCACAGTAGGTGGCTGGCTTTCTTCAGTTCCTGAAGGATGAACCTGCTCAAACAAAACCAGCCACAGATAGTCATAACAGCTAACTCAAAAAACAGCTTTTTTTAATGTGGTTAGTAACATGTCATTACTACCTCAAGAAGAGGTGAAGAAGGCCAAGTAAGCAACAGTCTCCAGAAGACTCCACTTGTTAAAACTTAGTCCTGGTAATAATTTCCCTGCACAGCTTTCTGCATAGGCCCCATTTATAACAAATCTAGAGATTATGTCATTCAAGAAACTGTAGGCAAGTCTGGAAAGTCTCTTATTAACTCGTAATACAAAGGGACAGTGTGTAATAGTAGATAGATGCAAGAAAAAAAACTAATACTTATCAATTTCCCCTTATTGAATACTTCATTCTTATTAGGAAGTAGGGTATAATCTAAAGATATGGGAAACGGTTCAAGTTTCTCCTCCAACTGTGAGACTTGGGATAAAGTCCAAGCCATACATGTCTTTTGATTCCAAATACAGACTTGAGGCAAATCCCTTCTTCACCTGCCACTTCAAAATTTTTTCATTGTCACACATTAGCTTTCTAAAGTCTTTTGATTCCTAAAATAGTTCAATAGTGTATACAAGTTGCACAAGCAGTTTTAACTTCTCTTCCCTATATAAGGCATAAATACAGAGCTACACGTATATACACACTCCCAAGAAATATGGAAGACATTTATGAAAGATATGAGAACATTGAAAATAGCAGCCTGTTGAGGCAGAGGCAACTACAGAACTTCCAAAACACTGTGATCAACAACTGTAGAAAGGTACAATAAGCACAGAAAAGGACTGATTGCTCTAACTGTATGCAAATGTATATCTGCTGTATAACCTCTGTTGCATATTTCACAGCCCAAGTGTGAACTCTGAGTACTTCCCAAATCGGCACAACTACCATGATGCTGGCAATTTCCACAACTAACGTGTAAAGTGCAATGAAAGGCAGATTATCTTATTTGTTCCTACTCCAGAGTTTACTAGAGGGTAAACTGAAGAAAATGAATCAAACAAAGAAACAATTCTTATTCATTAATGTCTCTAAGATTTTCCAGATTACAGTACAGTCCCAGAGCTGGAGCAGCAGGAAAGAACTGACATTTGTCCACCTTATCTTTTCCCTTCAGACTGCAATTACCTGCTATCGACTATCATCCTCCCAGAGTGTCTTTTAGGAAACTGTGGAAAAATGTACTAAAGAGACAGTGAGAATGTATTATACATCCCTCCCTGTAAAGATTGTCTCCCTTCAAGTACATGTTAACACTCACGCTTCAGCTTCCTAATGACTGCACTAGGTGATGCACTGCCCTTGGAGACTCCAAATGTCAGGCATGGACATTTGTTTTAAAAACAAATATCGCAAGTCGATCAAGTATCTGAAGAGGAACAGCATGGAATATGTGCTGCATGTCAACATTTCAGCACATTTTGCATCTCCTCTGCTAAAACTCCTATCTCAGATCACTTTTGTTTGCAAGAAACTAACTTGCTTTTATCTTTACTGCTAGTTGTCAGAGAAGGTTTTAAAATACTTCAAGAACAACTAAACAGTTATATGTGCTGTCAAGCAAAATCTGAATTGCTGTTAACAATTCTACATACAGGGTGAGCAATAAAGAAGGAAGATGCCAACTGATAAAAATAAAAGCTTCAAGGTGTTGCATATTGCCCTAAAGCACTATAAGAAAGATTTCTGATTTTAAAATTAGGATGGACATAGGTTACCCTGGCACCCAGATAAGCAATGCAAAGAACAGCTCCCGGAAAACTCGCAGCACTTCGTGTCGTTCGGCTGTGGAGCCCGCAGAGGGAGCAAGAGCTAACAAATGAATCCACACTCTGCACGCTGCTGCAGCACGACTGAAAAGCCCGATGATACCACATTTCAGCACAAATACAGAAAAGAAACAAAGCTCGAAGCACAAGTCTTCTCCAGAGAAGAGCATGAGAGCGGAAAATCTCTAGTTTATACTGAGAGACTGTTTAGGGTACTTCACAAAGTCCTTTTTTTAAAGGGAACTCTCAACAGATGAGCTTGTAAGTAGTTTGCACTTAGAAATCAATACACATTTACTCTTCAGGAGGAAAGATTATGCATTTATGAGAATTTCTATTAGAAAAGAGGTCCTCTTCTGTTCAGTTCTACCCATATTGTGTCCAGATGTTGTCAGAATAACCACAAAGACTTCCTTGACAAGGTTCTCCGACACCAGATGGTCCCAATGGTAATGGTGCAGTTTGTATAGCTAGAAAGAGGCCGTCATGTTCCAAAGAATGAAGATATTTACTAATGAAGAGATACACAATACCAAACATCCTTCTTCTGTTTAAAAGATCTTTGTTTCAAATGTGGCCTAATATGGAAGTTCTCCCTTTAAGAAAAGAAATTGTGTCCTAAATTGAAGAAAGCCATAAAAACAGACCAACTCCAGTAAAAAGAGGATTTTGCTGTTCTTTGTCATGGCAGCTAATCTCTCTTCTGTTGCCCTGATCTTTTAAGTAAACAAAGAAAAGGTTAGGAAAATAAGTCTAAATAGGGTGGTTAAAAGAATAAGCTCCAACATAAAACAAATAAGGATTATCTTAGCCAACATAATTACTTGAGAGAAGGCCTTTTAAGACTACAAACTTGAAACCAAGAAAGCAGCAGATAAATTACCTAAAAACTGTCTCTACAAAGATTCACACCCCAAAGCCTAGGGTGCAGCAGTGTAATAGGAGAAGAAACTTTCTCCTCCCTGGAGGAGACAGGACTTGTAGAGTCCTGGAAGAGTCACAGCATCAGGTATACCACAGCCTTCCTTCCACTTAAGAAAGCCTTTAGTACACCAACATTCACCAAAATCCAGTCAAGCTATAACCAAAACCTATCCTGAAGCAAGACTCACTAAAACAAATCAAGAAAACCACAAACAATAAAACCACACAAAACAAAACCAAAACACACAAACCACAACATACCTCCACACCTGACCCTTAAAATAAATAAAAAATAAAATAAAAAAAAAAAAAAATATGAGAAAAGACACCAAAATGCAATAGCAGTTTGACAGGAAGAGACCACTTACAAACCAAAGCCATACAGAACAATAAGGAAGGTTAAAACATCTTCGAATATGGAAGCTGCAGGAGATGCTCGCCAGTGGAAATGAAAAATTAACCACAATCACTAGCTGCAGAAGGAAGCACTCGTGCTATGTTTATATTCTGTTCTGGGTGAAGGCTCAAGTTTAGTATTTTCAGTTTCACCAACTTAAAATAAACCCTCTGAGAAGTTCACTCTGAGAGCCATTTGTGACATCTCCTGGCTAAGAATTACTGCCTTCCTTGAGCATTTACTCCAACAGTGTTATTTCCTTCACTTTTATTTCTTCAAAACAAAAGCTGCAGGAATTACAACTTCAGTTTTCCTATAATCCTACCTTCAGATACAGCTGGTCACCATAGACAGCCTTTTAGTACATTTCCTCCTGTCTGCTGCCACCAGACTTGTTCCAGCTCCTGCAATGTCACACTTATTGCCTAAATTATGATGGCAAATTCTAAAATACTGCACAGTAAAATTAAGAAAATGTATTTAAGCATAATAAAAACATTACCACTAAACTGTAGGACGTAGCTCTGAAAGTGTTACTAGGTATATGTTAAGTAATCTACAAATTCTATTAAAAAAAAAGTTATTGCAGTTCAAAATAGGATTGTATCTATCGTACCGCAAAGTAAACCTTGCAGTCTCTGCAAGGTTAGGATTTCCAAGGAGGCATCTCATTGTAGCAAGACTAAATGCCCGCAGTGCTACATGAACAGGTGCAGACAGCTACATATTAGCTTAAGTAGCTCCAAGGAGGCAAGGCATGAGATAGGTCTGATCCAAATCACGTTGCAACAGGTTTCTATGCAACAGGACCCGTGATAACACACGGTGCCTCTCTACAGGGCTTCTTTGCACAGGCACAGCTGTAGTCTAGCACGTTCCTAACGTTTTCAGACAAGACCTG